TGTGTGTGTGTGTGTGTGTGTGTGTGTGGTGCTGGTGGGGGGGACGAAAGAGAAGAAGAGCAGCAACAGGGAACAGGATGAGAGTAAGGGCAATCAAAAGTTGGAATAACTTAATTTCTATTCAGTTTAACCAACTGTAAAGGGCTAACACACACACGCAACAGTAACTAAACACCTATTTGATCTTTATTTGATCCTCATATTAGCCTAAAGAACCCACCTTTCATTAGTTGCCTATTATAACGCGTTGCAATGTAACCTATAGTGACCAGCAAACACACAATGCAGCTGTGATGCAAGGAGCACCTGTTGCATTGCATGCTCCAACTCAGTGATGCTATTAATTGTTAATGAGTTTCATTGGAAATGTTGACACAGAATAACAAAGTTATCCTTTGTGTAATTTTACAGTGAAACTACTGGTAAAAACAGAACTTGTCACATACTGTAAATAAAGCAAAGTGTACACTGGATTCAGATGAGCACAGGTCTCAGTGTTTCTGACTGAGGAACAGCCAAAGAGTGGGAGGACAGCATTTATGTAATGCTTTGGGAAATATTACAATTTTTTAATGGATTTATTTTGCATTTTCAGTGAGCTTATGATAGTCAGTCTGTGTAAAATCACCTATTTTTATATTGTAGAAGTAGAATAGTTTTTTAAAAAAATGCAATTTAGTTAAATTAAAACTCATAGCAGGAAAGGAAAACTTGGGCACGTAATTTAATGGCAAGTATGAATTTGCCTTTGAGATCGATAAAGTTATTTTTGAGTTATTTTTGTTCTAAGTATTGTTTGATAAGATCAGAGCTGGCACAAATGAGACATGAGTATGAACATGTGATGTGCTCACACAGGCACTGCTTCATTTTACACACATGCCTGCGCTCGTGTCTCTCTAAATTTTTGTATCCCCACTCCCAGACTCGCTGACATTAAAAATGCAACAAATTTCAGAAAATTCTGCAAAATTAAAAATCTTCACAGTAGAAAAATGGCATATATGTTTAGGATATATATGGATTTCCTCCTAGAAAATAAAGCTATGAGTAAGCATAAATATATTTTTCAGTAGGGTTCAAGCAACAAAGTTGGGAGTTTGAATTTAGATAATGTCCTGATTTTCTAAAAAAAAATTAAAAAAAATTAAAAAAGAGCCACAAAACAGAAAATACAAAAAATGTGATTGTTACAGAAAAGAAAATACTATTAAGCACACTTCTGCTTTTATTTTGAAAGGGTCTAAGACCCCAGGGCTGTCCATCCTTGTAAAAAAAAAGGTGTTAAGCTATTTTGACAAAATACATCCTGTGGTTTCAGTGATTACATGCCGCCCATGCCTCAGAGCATTTCAGCCTGCACACGAACACACCAAAGCAGTCGCACTACGACAAGGAAGAAGATCATTTATCTCTGCGGTTCGCTCCATGAAAGATGTCCATGGGTGAAGCAGGGTCTCCCAGGGCTTTGTTCTGGGCAGGGTTCACCTCTTTGTGTCCACCACCTTCAAAGCAAATGTAC